ATAGACAAACACCTACCAGCTAGTACATGGCAGCAGAAATACATAGACAAACACCTACCAGCTAGTACATGGCAGCAGAAATACATAGACAAACACCTACCAGCTAGTGCATGGCAGCAAAAAATACATAGACAAACACCTACCAACTAGTGCATGGTAGCAGAAATACATAAACAAACACCTACCAGCTAGTGCAATAAGTTGCTTTCCCAGTGGTGGATGACCATCAAAGAAAAATGTTCTCTTCATATACAGAATGGCAAACTTTCCATAATGGAGTTCATCAAATCTGTGTAATCATAGAGTGCACACATATATCATGATAAAAAAATTAGCACATCTACTAAAAACTAACCTACAACAAAATAAGAGCACAACTTTTACTTTTCCAAATGTAATACCTAGCCAAATAATATATTACAAATTAACCCAATACTATTTTATATAACAAACTAAATAAACATTACTATTTCTGCAAGATAGACTGTGTTCTAAGGTGCTAGAATAAAAAGCCTACAGTTTGCTGCAAGGTTAAAAGACCCCTTTATAATTCTAAAGTATTAGTTACTTCTTGGAACTTTTTCCATACTTTTCAGAACATTTTTTATACTATTTTGTAACATCTGATCTTCAAATAATATATCATTACAGTAAGCTTAATCTAAATAACTCAGAGAAAATATTAAAGTAGCCAAGTGAGATAATATCAAATTACTTTTGGTAACTGCAAAGTACAAGTTTTGTATATCTGTTGAATTTAACTTACACAATTCCTCTTGGTTCCTCAAGTCTATACATTCTTGTTGTCACAGCAATTAAAAACATTACCAAGGCTAAAGCATCAACTTCAAATGTAAAAGTAGGTGGATTACTATCACCACTGAACCATGATGTGGTAAAGTGTTCCAGATCATCACTGGAGTGAGATTCAGAAGTTGAGCTTTCATCCTCCTGAAACAAACACAAACCGTTGGATAACAATAATTAAATAAATAAAAATGTATTAATTGAATAAACGTGCATACATGTTTCCTAATTATTCATTTGTGCAGTAGCCAAACTTTCATTCAAAAATGCAACAATCAAAATCTGTAAAAGTATCTTTGTTATTTTGCTCCATTCTCACTAAATCATACAAGCAGTCACAAAAAGTTTTGGATTATAGTATTTAGATACTAATCTCTTTACTAATCACTGCTTATATTGAATTCTGACTGACTCCAAGTTTAATACAGATACTAACTTACATATATGTAGTGAAGTTGTTGTTGTTTTTTTCCAAAATTTCAAAATGTTCCATACATATATATACAGAAATTGGAAAAATAATTCAAGTAATAACACTATTTAACTAAATCCTAGGATTATCAAGAAGGTCCATACGGATTCCATCAACTTTTTAAACACATTTTCCTAACCTACTTATACACCAAGACGATTGTTTGTCGGTCCATGACTTAGTTTATTACAGGGTAATAATAACATATGAATCACACAAAAAGAATAAACAAAAATACTGTCAGTGCTGAAAATAATCACAGCTGTTACTGCTGAGGCACCCTATATATTTTACATAGAAAATAAATTGATTTCACACAATAACTTGGGTTAGTTCTTTACATTGGGTGTTGTAATAGGCAAAAACACAAAGAAACTCAATATGATGCAATATGTGGGCCCCACCAGCAGTGAATAGTATCAAAAGAAGTTGGTAATTTGAGGGTCCAACTTTTATCACACGATTACAAAGAATAATTGAGAATTACTTGGAATAACATTGTGCTTCTGAACAACTATTCTGCATTGTTTATATTATAACTGTTTTGATACAGTATATAAAAACTTAAGTTACAAAGAAAGCTGAACAACATGCTGATTTTCACCTTGTTTAGTTATAGCAAACTTTATTGAATTCCACAAAAATAATGTTTTGTTTTCTTAAAACTGTGAATTCCACTGCTTTTTTCATGCTTTCATTCATTTTTTAGCTTTTCTTGTTATTTGCCTCTTATTCCTTCCACCTGATACCTGAGAGCTGGTGAACAAGCTCTAAAGAAACACATAATCAATTGTGAACTAGCCCTTGGACAACATAGTTGTTGAAACAAAGTCTTGGGGAACACAAATAGTGAAGGAGGTGACTCACCATTCTCAAAAGCTGTATTGTTATATAAACATAAACAAGCCTTAAGGAACACACACATTCAAGGAGGTGACTCACCATTATCAAAAGCTGTATTGTTATATAAACATATACAAGCCTTAGGGAACACACATATTCAAGGATGGAACTCACCATTATCAAAAGCTGTATTGTTATATAAACATAAACAAGCCTTAGGGAACACGCACATTCAAGGAGGTGACTCATCATTATCAAAAGCTGTATTGTTATATAAACATAAACAAGCCTTAGGGAACACACATATTCAAGGATGGAACTCACCATTATCAAAAGCTGTATTATTATATAAACATATACAAGCCTTAGGGAACACACACATTCGAGGAGGTGACTCACCATTATCAAATGCTGTATTATTATATAAACATAAACAAGCCTTAGGGAACACACACATTCAAGTAGGTGACTCACCATTATCAAAAGCTGTATTGTTATATAAACATAAACAAGCCTTAAGGAACACGCACATTCAAGGAGGTGACTCACCATTATCAAAAGCTGTATTGTTATATAAACATAAACAAGCCTTAGGGAACACACACATTCAAGTAGGTGACTCACCATTATCAAAAGCTGTATTGTTATATAAACATAAACAAGCCTTAGGG